GTGGCGTGAGCCATAGCCCCCATCCCCCCCCCCCCTGCTGTTGGTCCTGGTCGCCGGGCTCCCGGACACTGGCCCTCCTGCCAGCAGCTCAGCACTGCTGCCAGCCCCTAGCCCCGCTCTGCTCCCAGCCAGGATCCCTGCTGCGCAACTCCTAGCTGGCCCCCATTCCCAGCCACTGGGGCTCTCTAGTCCAGCAATATCCATGGTCCTGCTGGACCACACACATTGCCAGAACAGAGAGATTCAACTGTATTAAACACATCAGCAGACAGAGCAGAGGTTTCTGTTAAACACTATACAATAGCATGATGGGAAAATATCAGGCATCCTAATTTGTAAGATTCTTCATAAAAACACTAGACAAAGTTTTTTTTTTTTTAAACTCTAACACACAAAAACCAGGACAGCTAACTTTCCACTGGATTTTCAGATGGGCCAGTTTCATTCTGAAGTTGCATTTCTCTTATTTTCAAGATTTGAAAAAGACTTGTCACTGTGGGGGAAGAGTCATATTAACCTCTCCATGGTCCCATGGCAGTGCTTTGCAGTACCAAACGGAAAGTGGAATTGCTATCTGCCCAACTGACAGGCCTGTTCTAGGTCAGGACTTTAATAAGTTTCAGAAAAGTCCACAGGGCCAATGTACAATCATAATGGCAAACTCTGCCAGCTTTAAAACTCTGGCCTTTGGGACAATCACAGTGCTGTCAATGACCGGTCCATTTAAAAGTCCAGAAAATGCCCTCCATCAGAAAGTAAGAGGGAGGTATGTCTCAACATACAATAAATGCGTGGAACTGATTTGTGCTGAACACTCTCATCCAACTCTTCTCTGCCAGAAAGCTGATTTTGAGAGCATATTTTTTTGTGCACGTCTTTATTTTAGAGGATATCGAGCAAGCATTTTCATCAGACACTCTGAATTATCTGAACGTGGCAAAGGAAAGATCTGTAATCTCAGCGACTGCACATTCACACGCTGACACCAGGGCTATGCTGCACTATACTTCATTTCTCGCATTTAAGTTCCTTCATGTGGATTTTTTTTCTGGCTAATGAATTCACTTTATTTCCATTTTAACCTTCTTATAACTCCATTATGCCCGAGGGAGGCATCAGTAAGTGATGTCTTGGATTTATACAGAACCTTATCCTTTACTAATGCTGTGTTTTATGCTGGAAACTAGTAACAGCTTACCCGCATTTTGTTGTTGACCAGATCTAGGATAGCATCATAAGGGATTTTGTCTAATGGAAGGCTCACCAGCCACTCCTGCAAGGTTTCTAACAACTTCACCACAGGCTGATGGCCAGGAAACAACTGACAGAAATAAGAAAGCATCCGTCAATCTTAAAGCACTCATTCCAATGAGACCAATACATATTTACAATGTTTTTACTTCTTAAAAGCTTTAATTAAACTTAACAAGCCAGATGGGTACATACAATCGAAACTGTTATATTTTTCAGTAAATAACCACTTGGCATGAATTTAACCTCCATACACATACTTCGCTCGCCACTGACATGCAGCTGGTATTTCACAGCAGAGAGAAACACAATTCAGCAGTTTGGGACTGAACATGAAGAAAATTGTATCCAAACTGCAGGGAGAACTGAGCTTCCACCTCGAGATGGAATTCTGGCAGGCACTCCCAGAGGACTGGAAGGCACAGTTCAAGGCCTCCTCTTCACACCTCTCCTGAATGATAATCAGGATGAAACAAATTAATAATAATAATGTCATCAGACTATTGGTGCAACACTGACTCAAATGGACGAGTGTCACAATGCTTCCTACAAAACCAAGCCATTCCATGGAGATTTCCCATCTAACTTTTGACTCGAATCTGTTCCTACTTTGAGATGTAATGTCACTTCTAAAATTGGAAATACTGTAATTTGTAAGTCTACTTTTATGTCATTACTGTTTGGGGAGCTTTAATTTCCAAAAGCTTGTCAGTTCTCTCTCTTAGGAACTAAAAAAAAAGGGGGAGAGAGAGAGAGAGAGTGCGCACAAGTGTGAGCTCTCTCTCTCTCTCTCTCTCTGGATAACGATGCATACATTTGCAAACGACTCTGACTATACTCCCTATAGCATCAAGGATCTCAACTGCAAGTAATGACAATGCTTTGGCTACAAATTTCCTGTCAGCGACACAGGTGGAAGACAAGACAAACTCCACCGGGTGCTGTCTTTGAGTTATAAAGAGAGTTGCTTGCAGTCATTAAAGTGCCCATGGTGCTTCTCAGTATTATTTATGAGGCATACAAGTCCCAATCTACCTGGTCCAGATCAATTTCAATTAAGAGCATGCACACTTTGCATACTTAAATTCCTCGTGCAGTTTCAATTGCATACGGCAATCCATACACAACAGCTTAGGACAAGAAACAGAAATGCTCCGTGTTAAACATTCCAAAGGCAGCAGCATTTCAACCATAGGGGAAGTTGTCCCTGTATCTACTTTATCAGATACACAGTGAACGTTAAGATGGAAGATGCTAGAGAAATGAAAGTTCATTCTGTAGTAACTATTCAATTGTTTCTAAGATACATCCTGCCAGACAACTGGTTCCTTCCAACTTCTTCTGGCTCTTCCCCCAATCCAGAGCTCTCTTAATTGGTTTAATGAAAAACTCTTGAGCAGTGACTGTCTTTGCTACCTGTCTAACTCGTCCCTAGCACAAAGATGCTCGATCTGGGATTCCTTTGAACTGCTCTAACATGGATTAGTAGATAGTACACAACTGAAGTACCGACAGCGTATATGATAGATCTATGTATGCATTTCGTTCTAACACCCCCCAAACGTAATGCTGACCAGTGCAAACATATGACATGAGAACCCCATTTTAGCTGCACTCATAATAGGGGATCTGAGATAGGTATCTGTCTTATGGAGGATTCAAAAGAAAGGGTTGCTGCAAGTTACACTAATAGCGAAGAAACTAATCCTACAACAATGAAAATCCTTGAGCAGGAGATGGGAGCACAGACTTTAGCGACTTAGCAGCACTGTAAATGCTCTTCTTCAGAAATGAGGCTAGTGCACAAGTCCTGAAATCTAAGTGCACACAGATGTTATTAATTTACAAGTTGTACCTCCCTTAACCAGGACACTCTGGTCCAGCAACATCTGCAGTCCGGCAGGACCAGGGATGTTCCTGGACCACAGAACCCAGGTATAGGGAGGTCGGGCCATGGGGCAGGA